GGAAAGGAAAGGAAAGGAAAGGAAAGGAAAGGAAAGGAAAGGAAAGGAAAGGAAAGAGGTGAGCATACAGAGACTGGTGAATGAAGCATTCAGATCAGAAGGTAGCTTTTAAAAATCAACAGTATTGGAGGGGGCAAATGATAACATGAATATCATGGCAGACATGACATGACTTACAGACTTGCTTAAGATCTTGGGACACAAGTATTAAGTTGCATCCTTTATGCAATGACATTATGACAAACGTGTTGTCCTTTTGACATAATTGCAGCTTCTACAGATATTGCTGCCTGCATCCCTTTGTTTAGAACATAAGTACTGATCTATCCCTCTATGCTGGTTATTTCAGTTGTTCCATAAATTTCAGCCTTTCTTCTATTCTCCTACCAGTTTCTAAGAAATCACACTAAATTAAGTGAAAATAAACTCTTCAAGTGATGGCAAATCTGCACAATGTTCTGGTCAAACGGGTGGGAGGGAGGACACGGAACAAAGCTCCAGCCCTCACAACCAAATTAAAGATGTTACCTCCTCCTCCTCCTCCTGGTTGGTTTCCATGTGATCCATGTCACCTTCAGCAGTGTTCACAGATCTCTTTGGTTCCCGTGAGTTCAGCAGAGGCTGCCGCTCTCCTGCTGTGGAAGGACTGTGCTGCAAACATCCGAGAACACATCAACCATCAGAGAAGAGGCCCCACATGGAGAATTTTGCTGCATATGCTCAAACATCACCCAGCTTCACTCCACAGATTTAGCACCCAGGATACCTAAGCAAAAGGTCCCCCAAGAATCATAAACCTGGTATCTTCCCACAATGGCCTGTACCTTCTCTGGGGATACTTCAATGTCCATTAAAGGCCTCTCTTGAACTGGCAGGCCCAAGAGATGAAAGTCTTGGAATCCACAGAGCTGGTACGTGAACTAGGGAACCAGGTTTGGACAAAAGTCCTAAGTTAGTCCCAGGGAGGGAGTCTTACCTGAGACTGAAGAACTGTCCGGCGATGTTTGCACCAGAAATACAAGGGCGTCCCCAGCAGCAGGATGGGCACAGAGACCAGAGCCACCAACATCAATACTGTCTGCACTATTAACTGTTGTGGACAAGAGGACCTGCTGTAGTTATTGCAGCCCTATCTAAGGCATTTAAAACTAAAGTAACTTTGCAGGAGTGAAGAAAAGACTTTTCTGGGTTGGATCTCACAATTAGAACAAGACAACCGAAACAAAGACAAGTAGAGCATCCTCTTCTCCCGTCCTCTCTTTCTCACACTTTATTTCAATTCTTATCCTATGACACTTTATTGATGAGGATCCTTCTTACACTCCAATCAGGTTGTTATTATTATATTGTCTTATTAACAAAACAAAGCAAAACAAAACATGACAGTGAAAATGGTCTTATTAGCTGAAAACTAAGAAACCATTCAATGCTTCCTCCAAAGTCTTAGGGGCCACATGATCTCCCTTAAAAAATGATCACCTGCACAACAAGCTTGAAGCTACATTACCCAGTAAAGGGAATATATTCCTAATATTGAACAAGGCATTAGTAGAATTTTGACTACTTAGTTCCATTTTAATTATTTTCCTTGACAGATTTAAAATGCAGCAAAGGCAAAAAAGCAGCATCTAAAATAGCAAGCAGCAAACCCACATGGGGCCTGTGGGATCCCAAAATTGAATATTAAAAAAATTAAATGGCAGAAATTTCATGACAGTGCCAAACCACATGAAATTTCAATGTTCCCAGCTGAACTATTACTAGATTCTGGATAAGAGCACTAAAATTGTGTAAGATTTTAGGATGAGAGAATCTTGCAAGATTTATTTATTTATTAAATCAATTTATATAGCCGCACATCTTACCACAGGCAACTCTGGGCAGCATACAACAAACATTTGGCAGTTTTGTGAAATTTCTGATATTTTTTAAATTTAAGGGGTTATTTTGGCACCACCAAGCAAAATGGAGCCTGGAGCCTCTGAAGTTTGCCAATTAATGATCAAATAAAACCATTTTATGGAAGTGATTATGGATGAACTTGAGGTTTTTGACAAGTGCCAAAGGCATTTTTGGATAGCTCTCAATAGCTAGAATTACTTTTGTGCTCAGGTTCTCAATTTATAACTATATTCAAAAGTATTTTTCCACAGGTCTTAGGGCTTTGCACCTCAGGTTGACTGAGGATCAATTCACGTGTACACATTATTGATCAGTACAAAATCAAATGATGAGTTGCTTTGTGAAACCACCATCACCATTTGGACAGAAAATTCATCTCAAATAACATTTCTCAAGAAAAGCTGGTCACAAGTCCAGCATTAAACAGCAAATGCAAAAGAGTATCAATGATTGAATAAAACAAAGCCATCTTGGTATGTAACAAGGCCACCCTCCTTTGATAGTGGATGACACAATCAAGTTGGTACATATACCGGATCTGGGTGGACCCAGAGGGGATTATCTGAAGGTAGAGGATATTATCATTAATCCTTTGTCAAATCACTCTCACTGATTCTGGACTTGCTGTGCTGCCCCACAGGAAGGCTGGATATATTGGATCAGTCTGTCCCAGGTGACTAATGGACCTGGATAGGTTTCAGAAGGAGCATAGGGTTTTTCCTGAAGATCAATTGGGCAGTTCAACAAAGGGTCTAGTTTCTGCCCAGAATTGGTACGTTACAGAGCCTTGGGTCAGACTGCGCTATTGCAGCTTCTCCTTGTCTGCCAATCCTGAGAAACTTCCTAGTTTTCCAAGAAAGTCCAGGAAATGGAACAGAAGAGATACCTAGACCACTGCTGGGGAAAGATGAGGCCATCACTGGACTCAACAGTGCTGGGCAACTTTCATCCAGTATCCAACCTCTCCTTTTGGAGGAAGGTTGTTGAGAAGGCAGTCAGGCTGCAGTTTCAGAGGGCCCTGGAGGAAATTAATTATCTGCACTCTTTTCAGTCAGATTTCAGGCCAGGCCAGAGTACTGAGACAGCATCAATCATGCTTGTCAATGACCTCTGGCAGAGTTGGAATGGGGGTAGTGCAACCACCCTGGTTCTCTTAATCTCTCAGTAACTTTTGATATCATCAATCTGGTATCCTTCTGGACCAACTCTGGGGATGGGAGTGGGAGGGGGGCAACAATGTTACAGGGTTTTCCTTCTTTCTTCATGGCCAATTCCAATTGATGCTGACAGAGGGGTGGGGGGAAAGAGGTTGAGCCCAAAGCACTGATTTTCAGGGTGCTCTCACCCTCCTGTTTCACATCTACATAAAGCCATTGGGTAAGGTCATCCATTGGCACAGTGTCAGGTAATATCAATACGCTGATGATACTCAGCTGTGTATTTCAACCCCATGCTAACCAAGTGATACTGTGAAGATTGTTGGTGTCTGGAGCATACATAATCTCAACCCTAGCAAGACTGAGTGGCTGTGGGTACATGGATCATCTGTGTCAAGGGACTCTCCATCTTCAGCTCTGGATGGGGTTACACTCCCCCAGATAGAATTGGTGTGCAATTTGGGGGGTTTCTTAGGTTCTTAGTTCTGCCTGAAGAGCAGGTGCCAGCTGTGGCTAGGAAAGCCTTCACACATATTCATCTCAGGCATCAAGTGCACCTATTCCAGGACCACAAGGCCCTTTTCATAGTCACAATGGTGGACTATTGCAATGTGATCTATATGGTCTGCCCTTGAAGACCACCTGGAAGCTTCAGCTGCTCCAGAATGCAGTGTTGTATGCAGTTACAGGCATGCCACAGTACACCCATATAACACCTCTATTGTATGAGCTGCACTGGTTACCAGTAGGCTTCCGGATGCAAGTCAAGTGCTAATTGTCACCTGCAAAGCCTTACCTTGGTACTGCATCTAGTTATTTGAGGGAGGTTTTTTCCCATTGTTTCTGCCTCTCCTGTGAGAACACAAGAGTTGCCATCTTCCAGGTCCCATCTATTAAGCAATGTCATCTGACTGGACCCAGAACACATTTTTTTCTGTTGTCAGGCCTGTTCTATCAAATAATATCACTCAGGGATTCAAACAGCCCTGACCCTGTTTTCCTTTAAATATACCTCTTTCCCTAGGCTCTGGATTGGGGTGGGACACAGGCTCCCTATGTGAGGGGTTTAATAGGTTTTTACTGGGATAACCACCTTCCTTTTCTGTTTTTGCTTGTTGTTTTGTACCCCCGTATTTAATTTTGTATGTCACCAAAGTCACTGACAAGTTGGACAGCCTCAGGAATGTGAATTATAAATCAATCAAAGAAAAATAAATCTCAGAGGAACATTTTAACTCTAAGCAACTTCCTCTAGTCCTGTATTGCTTGACAATGTGAACATTTGGAACAAATAAGCATTATTTTTCAATTTACTGAATCATGTATTCATCCCATCCCACTCAACCCAACAAATTCTGAGTTAGGAAAGAAACAAAGGAAGAAAAACACTACAGAATTAGAGGAAGGAATGCTTTGTAAGTAGGAACTCAAGAGACAGGATATGATGCTACAAGCTGTTACCTGGTATTCAAAGAGCAGACGATTTCCAGGATTCTCTGAAAACAGGAACATGCTAATGAAGTGGATGAGAATGCTGGGGGCCCACTTGGAATTCGAAACATCATACATAAGCCATTTGTAAAATATCATAATTACAAGGTAGCCAAAAAGCACCAGAAGGAAAGTGATCTCTGGAAGGAAAACCAAGAGGATCTTGTATCTTTGCCTGAAATGGCTGCAAACCAGACAGAGGGGAGAAGCCATCAACAAAACCATCAGAGACACTTCCAGCCCAACATTCCACCCAGATGCCTCTTGGGAAGTAGCAGCCCAGTCCCCATTATCTTCTCTGGCCGCTGGTAGGGTGAGGTATACTGCCTCTAATGAGGAGGAGGTGGCACATGGCTCTCATTATCTCTAGCTACTGGTAGTTTTACCCTCCAACTCCCTTTTAAAACCCTCTCTGTTGACTGCAAACAAGGTGGAATTTCCAAGGCCCTCTTTGTTGACTGAGCAGAGGTACATCAGCTGGATACTCACACGTGGTTGAAGATGCCAAGAAACACTCCAAAGCTCATGTGAAAAATGCCCAAGATCACAGACATCTTCATTTTGTAGGAGTTTAGGAAGGTGAGGTGGTTAACAGCCAGACTCCAGATCTGGCTCATAAGAGAGGAAGAGAAAAATCCCACACATGACAGAGATGAGAGCCAGTTCCAATTTGGGAATGGGAAACAAATTAAAGGGAAGAAGAGGAGAGACAAACCCAATTATTTTAATTCTGGTTGGATCTGTGAGAAAGGATTTTTCCATCAAAACAGAGTTTGAAAATCTAATTGAAAATCTAATTGTATGAAATTTCAATTTCATACAATTGATTGGTTACAATAAATGGATGCCAAAATAGCAGCTTCCTTAAATATATCTTTGTACGTTTAAACGAGGGGTGGGAATGGAAATAAATATATCTACAAATGCATATAATAACCCCAACCAAATCTGAGGTTACATAATTGTCCAAAATTTAAGCTACAATTCTGATTTCATCTCAGGACTACATGAGACGTTAAACTGATATTAATTTTGTTTTGCCTTAAGCCAGTTTTCTCCTATCTGCTGACCTTCAGTTGGGTTGGAACTGTATCTCCCAGAATTCTCTACCAGAATGCTGGAACAAATTGCTTGGAGTTATAGCCCAATACACCATGGACACCAGCATAGGGGTGTTTGATATTAGGAAACTACAGTACGTGCTGTCATGGTTAAGTATTCAGCAAGTATTATAATAAATACAACAGAAATTCAAATCTGTTGGGATATTAACATTCAAACCACATTAAAAACCTTTTATTACATCCTCCCCATCATATTCTTCAGTTCAAACTGTGGTTTTATTACATTCCCTTTTTCCTATGGAAGCTTAAGAGAGTGTACATACTGGTCTTTCCCTCATTTTATCTCTGCCATACAATCGAGTCTAACTGGCCCAAAGAAACTCAGAGAACTCAGAGATTTAGTAGGGACCTGAACCTGTGTTAGTGGTATCCTGGCATTTTGCGAGTTCCAGTAGAAGTGAATATGTGTAGCCCGGGGTTGAACTGTGGAGTCTTTGGGGTTCTGAGCTTGGCTGTTTTCTTGCAAACATTTCATTACCCAGCTAGGTGACATCTTCAGTGCTAGAATGGAATGGGTTTGCTCTCTGTTTATATATTGTGGTATGCCCTGCCAGTGTTGGTGTGGGTTTTGTTTTGTTCTATTTTTTCCCTCTGGTAGTTCCTTGATTAGGGTATTGTTTACTGCTTGATTGTATGTCTGGTGGTAATCTTGGTGTTAATCTCTGCTTATCTGGGTGATGACTGTTTGTGAGATGTTCTGGTCTTTTGTTTTCCTTTCTATTGTCTCTTTTGAATAGTGTGTAAATGTTTATCTCTATG